AAGCCTAAAAACCCTTTCCTCCCCAACTTGCCTTTTGGTCATGTTGTTTATGTCAGCAACAGAGACCCTAAGACAATACCTCCTAAGACAAAAAGCCTACACAGGGAAGGCTCTGTTGGAGATGTGATGGAGAGCCAGAGACACAGTACTGCCTTCAAGTGCAGGCCGCCATGCAGCCCCTGATGTTAATGTCAACTCCCACCATTTCTGTCCCTTCCCTAAATAATCAGCAAACTGTATACTCCCTGCTAAATTCTTGGCAGCCAAGCTCAAGGGCGGAGATAGTGTCTCATCTTCAGGCTAAAATGAAACACAGCCAGTGGCTTCTCCCGGGAGGCCAGATATGTGGCGGTGTGGCATACATACCCAGCACCCACTTCTTCCTGCTTCCGGCAAGAGCACTCTGATGCGCTTTTAGACAATGTCCTCTCCTCCTATTGTGGGCAGCCATAATGGGATTGACAGTCAAGTGTTTTTCCCTGAATTTAAAGCTAGGAACAAAATGTCTAATCTGGGCCAGCAAGACTCGGGAGTTGAATCCGAAAGGGAAGACAGGAACAGAATCAATGGTGAATGAATAGAGCCTAGCAAGGGCTGAGCCAGGGCACTTGCCTCCGATCCCGGGTGTCCTGCCAATACGAGTTCTCAGCAGGTCCTCCGGTCCAGCCCTCTCAAACCCCTCCCATACACTCTCTCCAGGCTTAATTTTAGTCAGGGTTCTGCAACAGAGAGCCTATGTGACCACAGAGTCTCAATCTCCTCTCCAGGAATGGGTCCAGGCACCACTAGGAGGGAGCCAGGCCCTGACTGGGATGCATTACAACCTCAGAGCTGGGCTACTTCTTTATCAAGACCAGCCCAGCCCAAAGCCAAAGGCTCGCTATGCCAAAACTGATTGTCCTTAATTAACAAGGACCCACTGTGCCCATGCCAGCCCTTGGGAAAAGGCCAGCACACCGAGGAGAAATCAGATTCATGTGGGTCAGGTGAAGGCTTCCAATGAGCTCTGTTATTCTGCAGAATCCTCAGGCCCTGTACTTCAATTCTGTCCTCCAAGGTCTGTGTGGTCCCATGACATGCTAGGGGTTTCTTCCCCCTACTACACTGACAACCAAAATCCCACAAACCACCTGCATTTTATTTAGTGTGCCTTTACTAACAGTCTTGGATGTGGAATGACGATTACCAACCATGGAAACGATTAATAAGCAAATGACAAAGCAAGTGTGCCAGAAAGCACAGACCAGGTTACCAAAGGAACACATGGGATGGCAATTTTCCCTGCAGGCCTCTGTCTCTCCTTGGTGAAACACTGCTGAAGCTGGGCCCTGCGGGAGGACACAGAATGACAACCGCCTCTCCCTCACCTGGACCTACAGAGCTGTCCCTTCCCAGCAAGAGATCATGTTGTGCAAACGCCGGTTTTTAAAATTTGACGGGTTTGGGGGTTCATGCCTTTTTCCACAGAGAAAGGTGTACACATGTACAGATGACGGCTAAGGATGGGCACCTGTCATCCAGCGCCCAGTTCTCTATAACATGCAGTATCAACCCTGCCTATAAATGAGGGCTATCAGGCCTCTCCCTACCCATAGTTCCCTGAGCCCAGCTGCCAATGGAAACCATTTTAGCACAAGCAATCCTGCTCCTCCCTAAGTCCTAGCAATTCTGCAGTCAGTCTTTCTCTCAAGCTAGGCACTGTGGTCCCCTGCCCCACCCCCAATCCCAGCACCTTGGGTCAGAGCAAGCCTTGTCACATAGATGGCACCACAGCTGCCAACACAAAATTTGGCCAGTTTGTCTTTGGCTTCCTGCCCTAGCTTTCTCTCCTAAGCCCCTCTGCTGAATTTGGTCCCCGTCTTCCTTCTCAGCCTTTCCCAGCCATACCCTACCTGTTTTCTGCATGTCCAGCCTAAAGTCCTCTCAGCTCTAAAACGTCTTGTGTGGGTTGGACCGTACTTGCTGGCATGTGTGTGCACTTGTGCACACGTGTGAGGACGCCAGAGGTGGGCATCAGCCATCTTTCCTTGACTGCACTCAACCTTCATTGCCTGAACCTGAAGCACATCAATTCAGGCTAGGTCAATGAGCTTCAAGGGCGCACTCATCTCCATACCGCCAAGCCCAACACAGGATTACAGGCACAAGCTGCTACACCTAGCAGCCTAATTAGTCTTGCTAGTGCCTCTCCCCAGAACAAGCGGCTTCTCTCTACCTTAGCCTATAATTGCCTACCAATTCCTCAACACCAAGATCCTCTTGCCTAACATTTCCATTCTGGTGGCTTGATGAATTTCAAATATGAGATTACCCACGGCGGGCCATGTGGACCGCACACATCCTGAGGATAGAGCATGTCCTACTGGCATCGGCTTTGGTTTCAATAAATAACAGCACGAAGTTAGGTTCTTGTCTTTGGCACTTAGCTGCATGACTTATTTTTTGAGTCTTTCCTTATCTGGAAAAAATACTTCAAAAATTGGTTTACAGAGTGAAGGGTGCAGGAAAAAGCCAAATGGAAACTTTGTTAGCCGAGTTAAAAAAAAAAAAAAATACGAGAGTTAGGAGGGTGATAAGCCTCCATGGTTGAATAATGCTGAAACTAAATGTCAGGTGTTATTAAACCAAAACCCTAGTGCAAAGTATGGGATACCTCCTTATGAGCTGTAGGTCAGAGAGGCTCCAGAAGTTTCCAAAACAATATAGGTCCTTGAAATACCTCTTGGCTGCTCTGAGAACTAGCTGATAAGAACCTTTGGTTGAAGACCACAAACATTGGGTATAAGAAACAGAGAAATCAAACTGGATCTGAGCTGGAGGTTTCCTCCTGGATAGCTAGCTGTCATAGTACCAGAAGGTACAATGTAAAGATGAGAGAGTGGCCCTATCCAGCTAAAAACCCTATGAGCTACAATAACAACCTGCCAAGTAAGATTTGTCTACTAATTATAGCACAATTGTTGTAGGGGGCAACTAAGCACTCTGGTTTTGAGACCCATTCCATAAAAAGAAACCATGCCCAACACTATAAACAGTTAAAAACTCATGGCCGAAGTCTTAGGCCCTACTGGAAATTTACTATTTAGCTAAACGGACACAGTATCAAGCTGCCTTCACTATTTAGCTAAACTGACACAGTATCAAGCTGCCTTCTAAATACAATGAAAGGTAGCCAATGAAGAAAGAATTGCTGAAGATACTAAGTTACAGTTGAGGGCTTAGCTCTCAACAGGACATCAATATAATTCCCCCTAAGGCTGCAGTGCAGAAGGAACGGGAAGAAATGTTAAGAGCTGGAAGAAAGGGAGATCTACAAAACCGCATAGGTGTGGCACAGTCCTCTCAATCATAATCTCACAACAGCAAGAGCTGCCAGCAATGGGCCTGCACTAGGCTGAGCTTGGCAAGAGTCAATCATAGATCAAAAAGGGTCCATGTGACCCTGCTTTCCCTGTTGGAACTATGAGCTGCTGATGCATTCTGGGAGAGGGCAGACATTGCCTTCAATTGTATACCCACTGATGAGTTCATCATGCTCCAGTAAATAGCAGCAAACCTATAAATACACAAACAGCCCTGGTTACACTCTGGGTCACAAAACCCAACTCTATGAATGTGGGAAAGGGACTGGTAGGGGGCTGGTAATGGGCGTGAGAGGGATAAGTCAGGATAAGAGTGACAATAATCAAAATGTACTATACAGACACGTGAATGGAATTACCAAAGGACACATTTAATAAAAGAAAAAAGTTGGTTTAAACATTGGTTCCCAAAGCCAACTGAATGTCAGAATCACCAGGAACTTTGAAAACACAGAGAAAGGAAGTAACAGAAGATAATGACTCTTCCTCCCCGCCATCCCAAATGAGTTTCCTGTCAGAAAAGCTGCCATGGAGTCCTAAAATAGTCACAATGGAATACACCTGAATACAGACATTGACACGGCAGGACAGACCAGAGAGAACACAATAAAGAGGAAGGGAAGCACCTGGGCAAGAGTCCTGGACTTAAGTCACACACCCCGGGGACCACAGGGCACAGTCTCACCCAACCCCAACCCACAGCCACTCTGGAAAGCAAACAAACAAACTGCCAGCAATCACATTTGCCCAGGCCAGGCTTCTAAGATACTGCCAGTGGGAAGTACAGAAAGACGGGCACCTTTTCCCAAGGGTTATCAAGCTTCATTATTCAGTATTGTTGCTACTGAAAATGTAAAATGTCGTGGGACATTGCCGATTAGATTGCCTATCGGTGCTCAGAAGAGCAGGGGACTGGCAACATTCTGTCTTTACAGACAAACAGGACCTTTCGTCTTGTTCCATCACTTCTCTGCCTCCTTGTGTTGCTCTATCTCGGAATAAATGCATCGAAAGGCCAGGAAGCCACACTCAAACTGTTCACCTTTAAGATAAAAAACTAAGCGTGTGTGTTCTAGTCTGCAGCCCTCACATTAAGGAAAGGGTTATGTAATTCCAGAGTTCCAACATTCACACTCATGGGTGAAAACCTAAAATTTGGAAGCACCCTGCTTCATTAAATAGAAACCCAACCTAGAGGTGGTGATTTACACCCAATTTCAGAAGTTGGGAGGCCAAAGCAGGAGTATCCCAAGTTTATAGACAGTCAGGGCTATGTACCAAGACCCAATACATACATACATACATACATACATACATTCATACATACATACCACACACACACACACACACACTCATATACATTCACACTCTTTCTCACAAATTCACTCACACACCCTTTCTTACACACTCATACACTCACACACACTCACACACACAAAGGAAAACTCAGTACTAATTCTTCCAGGAATTCTGACATTTTCTAATATATGAACAACAATCATATACAAAAAGGCTTGCTTGCTGTGTCCTGCTAATCAAAAACTACTGGAGATCACATAAAACTGACCCAGTGAAGACAGTAACATAAATTACATCGTATAACACAGCACAGCAGAGGTATGGAGACATAACATAGCCTTCAAGTTGCACATTTTAATTTACAATATTTACCAGTAAAAAGGATTAGTTACAAAACCGAAAGCTGTCTGTACAAAATAGGTTTTGTGTTTTGTTTTGTTTTGTTTTGTTTTTTTCACATTCATAAAGAGAACCCATTGTGATGTCTTACCTTGTTAAGTCAAAACTCAAACAGCTTGCTTTGGTAAAACTATCCAGGGAGTACTGGTAATCCAGGCAAGAAAATAAAATTATCAGCTTCCTAACCATGTCCAGGAGGAAAACCCTAATCAACGTTTTGCCTTGAACAGGAAAGTCTACACACCTGCAGACCCCTTAGAACAACCAGTGCTCTCAGGAGCCAGCCTGGTAAGAGAGCATGGAAGGATCTCGCTCCCTGGTAGAGCCCTTTCTGTGTTCCGGCCTCCACCTTGCACAGCGACAGATGTACAATGGTACAGGGAGAGTGGCGTCTGGAATTTTACAAACACATGTTATCACAGCCTCAGGTCAGCAGGAAAGCCAGAGAGTCTAGGTTCAGCCTCTCTCCACCCAAAAGTTTATCATATAAATTAAATATGGAGAGGCACACAAACTTATGAAAAGGGAGCTCTTTTTCAAACTCCCACTTCCTAATATAAATACATCATAGTTTTAATGCTCAGAGAAAGACAAGTCATACTGTTAGGGCCATTTCCTGCAAGGAACCAACCGAAATGTCAGAAACCTTTTGACAGCATTCAAAGTGTAGCGGCCATACGACACTGCTCCCAGCAGTCTGCTTTCAGAATAAAAGCATAAAGTAACTATGTAAAGCACTGTAGCCTTCAGAAAACTTTATTTAGTGATGAACTGAGCTCAGCAGGCAAAAGCCCACCTATAAAAAGGGAGTAGGGCCGATTCACAAAGTGTATACATGCAAGACCCAAGACAATAGAGACAGGGATAATTCTAAAGCTAGTGAACTTCTAATTCCACGTGACTAACACAGGCAGGTGTGCCTGTTAGCCTTAAAAACTGATTGACACACATCCAAAGAGCTGTACTTCCCTCGCCATATAAAACACTTAACCAAAAGTTAAGGGACAAACACAATGGAAGAAAAATGTAAAAGTCTGACACTCTCCTCCACTGACTCAATGAACACACGCCCTCAATGAGGAGGAAACGGAATCAATGCCCTGAGGCTGGCCTCCCTTCAGGGACAACTGTCTGGCCAAGGTGATTTGGAACCTAACACAACACAGCACACCACAACTGCTCTGGGTACACAAAGCCAGTACACCCCATGGAAGAAACACAGAGAGATCAGGGATAACCCACTCTGTTAGAGCGATTCTGCTCTGGCTCTGATCACTTGGCTTAGCTGGAGAAAAGAGGCTGGCAACAACCCCTAAACCGCATTATTCCAGTCTGGGCCCTCACTGACTCAGTGGTGCTTTTTCTATAAAAATGTCTGAGGCGGCGGCAAATGGCTGCGCTGCTGTCAGGCTGATACAGTCCCCACAGCTGAGAAAACTCTTCATCCGCTGCTCCAGTCTTCTCCCTACTGTTACAGTCCCGCCAGTAACAGCTGAGAACCAAGTGTCAACAAGCTCTTTGTGACCAAGCTTTGGCAAAAGTCAATAAATAAGAGTTTGTCAAAGGCAAAACCATTCTGGGAACAACTCTAGCTGCAACTCTGGGGACGCATGTGAGAAAGTGGAAGGGACCCTCTGACCGGGCTTGGCTAAGCAACCCCACTTGGCCAGCCCATTATTCAGACAGAAAGGGAAGAAGAGAAGACACCAGCAAATGAGTCGGTTTTGAAATCTGCACAGCTGATATTTGTTCTTCACAGCAGTAAGGACTTGAATGGGAAGCATGAAACTTGAGCAACACTTGTATTTTCCTTCAGGGTTAAAAATCTCATCTTGTACTGAAAGACTACATTCAGCGTGGGTCAGGTCCAAGAGCGGCAGCGAAAACTTGGCCGTTAAGCGGGCCCGGCACTGGGAGGGCACTGTCATCGGCTTCGCTTGGCTGGTGGGCAGGCCAGGGACTGCTCCTCACTGGTCTCCAAGTCGGAAGCCCTGGCCCCAGTTGTGTCTCCCGCCTCCACCATTCTGGTCAGCAGCTCGCCTCACGCTAGCAGGGGGCACACCAAACCCAGACATCCCTCCTCTCCTGCTGGGTAGCCAGCGGTACCTAGAGAGAAAAAAGACAACAGTCACTTGTGGACCATCTCCATCTCCTGGGTCTTCCAGACATCTGTCACACTGACAAGAGTCCAGGGACACCGTCTTTTTTAGCTTTCCTTTTCAGCACTTAGTGCCAAGCCCTGGCCACAGATGGCAACTGTTTAGATTATTTAGTTCTAGGGCGATTTCTTAACTTTAAGGAGCTTTCAGTTAAATTCACGAAAAAGATCACATACAAACCCAAGAAGCACACTTACCGCTAACGGCTTCTTGGTGTACCAGCATATGGGTCAGACTGGATCAAAAAACTCAAAATGAATTCACTTGGCTTTCAGAGGACAAACCCGAGGCAGCCTGCCTGAGCCCAGCTCAGCCATCTCCACAGCGCTGGGCTGAGTCTACCAGTCTGGGCCAGCGCTTTCTGTCTTGAAGCTATGGGTGTAGTTCTAGTTTACTCATCACCTGCCTTCCACCTGCGCCCTTCCCATCTCAGACAGTGCCGACACCAAGGCCCAAAGGTCACATGATCTCTCACCTTACAAATTAATAAGCCAGGCATCACAGGACAGCTAACAAAACTTCAACCCGTCTTTGTTCTCAGTAACATCAAGCAACGTTTCTCTTCACTATCTGCATTAGTAAATTAACTGTGTTTGAACTTGTTTTAGTCATGGGGCTCCGGAAGTTTAATTTTTTGCTGGGAGGCAGGGAGTACAAACTGAAACTCTGGTTTTAAACCCTTTGTACCCAGAATAAGTCATGACAAGTGACTACCCACATCAACACCCAACAACAGCACAGCCTTACAAGAAAGCAACTTACTCTTCAAAGAGCACCTGTGGTATGCCATGTTTAGAAACTCACTGGACTGTCCCAACAACTCTGTGAGGATATTAAACACACACACACACACACACACACACACACACCTCTTCCTTTTTCTCTCTCTTTTGGCTCTTCTGGAGGTTGAATCCAAAACCTCAGGACTATCAGGCAAACACTCTACAACTGAGCTATGCTCACAGCCCTTTTGTAATTTTTTTTTTTTTTTTTTTTTTGGATCAAGGTCCCACCAAGTTGCCCAGGCTGGCCTTGAACTCCAGAACCTCTGCTCTCACCCTCCCAAGTACCTGAGATTAGAGGCATGAGCCACAGTTCCCAGTCATAACACTTATTAAATCAACAAGAAAATCAGTAAGACCTGAGTGAGCTCTTCAGGAATAATGGTCAGTAGTCAAGCCCTGGCACCCGATGCTAAGCCAGTACTTTACACACTCGTTGACACTCACTATGAAACAGCAGCAGTACAGTGGGTACCACTGTTGAAACATCAGCAGCTGCATCAGTGTGTAGCATTTTAAAGAATGATCCCTCTTAAACAGAAAATTAACTCTGAAGAAAGCAGTATAGAAGAAAAGATATGGCTGCCCTTTACATGGAGTGCACAATATGGTATCTTAGAATTCTCCAGGTCAACTCCTCTCTTAAACACACAGTCGGACATGGTGACACATGGTGACATGGGCCTACACTCCCAGCACTTGGGAGGCTGGCAGGATGACAAAGCCTCAGCCATAGGGAAGTCCATAGCAAAAATCTGTCTCTAAAAAAGTTAAAAAATAAAATACAGTTTTATCATGAAACTGAAGTGTCATTTCCAGGCGCCAAATTTGTCAACATCCATGACTTCTTGTACAGTACTGTTCCTCTAAAGTACATAAAAAAACATAGCACTTGAAAAAGGCAGCCAGGCTGTCTCACTCTGCTGCACACACAAGACAATATAGAAGCCAGCTCCATTGCTTAAGCTGAGAGTGAAATTAAATGCCAGTAATTAGAATAAAAAGACACCCAATTATACATAATCAACAAAAATTTATGGTAATTCCAAAGCAGTTACTGCTTTTGCAAGGAGCTCCATTTTGCCATCTGATCTTTATGCAGAATTTCACAGAAGGGCGTCCACCAACAGAGAAAGCTCCAGGGGTAGGAAGGAGGGCTCCAGTGTGCTGCTGATTTTGCCATTAGAATTTTCTACACTTTTGTCCACAATTCAAAAATATCTGTAAACTGTTAAGTCAGAAACTAGCCATTTAAGGCAGAGTGACTGTTGGTGACTCCCCAGAGTGCAAGCTTTTTAAGTGGGTGCATCTGTCACACCTATTCGATAGCCTAGATCTCAGACCCAAGCCTGCCGCTGTTGTGTCCTTTGGTGACCACAAACACACTGGTCATTTGGGTTTTTCCAGCCTGAAGGTGCCCCAGAGGCAAGAAGAGAAACAAATTTCTTATTTTCTTTTAAAAACAAGCCACTGTATAATATATATATATTATAGTTCACAATCAAATATCTTCCACAAACATACCCTAACCTGTACAGAGCTGGGGCAAAGACTACTCAGGTGTTACTGCTCCTCACCCACCCCTTGGAAAAAAGACAGCACTGCAAGCATTAAAATAATGCCTTGATTCAAAGAGGTTCGGTGTTTCAATTCTTAATGTAAGTGACTACTTCCTATCCCTGCACAAAATTAGGTGTGCTTGTCAGGCAGGCTGTGACACCCACATGGTGACTTAACTGGTCTCTTCACTGACAGAATGGTCATGTTACTTACACACTCAGTGTTTGAGCATCTCTTCTCAGTCTCTCAGTCACCAGTCCTCCCCACAATATTAGGTCCATGGCTTTTATTAACCCAGATCCCAGGCCTATGCCATTAACCCACAATCCACCAACTATGCCTCCAATAATGAACCCTGCTTTATTTTATCCACTCCTGTGAGACAGGGCAGCCTCTCAATTCAGACTATGAACCAAAGGTTGGAGGTTTTAATAAGTCACTTGACCAGTATCAAGAGTAGTACACAAAGGGAATGCCATCCATTCCCCAAAAGCTACAACCCTTGGCCTCCTCTACTTAGTTCATTCTAAAGGAAGAAAGCAGTGAAGCACCTACTTCCAAGGACTTGAGACTGCTACACAAATCTCAAGTCTCTAATTTTAACTTTAAAGCAATCTACAACACTTCTAGTATATAAAATTTTAAACCAGGCAGGGTGGCAGCACACCATAGTTCCATCACTCGGAGACTGAAGCAGAAGGATGGAGAGCTTGAGGCTAGCCTGAGCTACACAGCAGGAACCCTATCTATCCCTAAAACAAAAACAAATAAAAACACATCTTAAAAACTGTAAATAGTGAGCTAACTTTACTTAGCCAACATCATGGGCGGAACCAATGGTCCAAGAAAAAAGGTGGTGTTGTTCTAATTGTGCCCCCCCCCCGCCCAGCCCACTACGTGGCATTCTGAAGCAGAATCAAGGACCTGGGCCTGCTCGGCACAGCTCGTCTGTTTGTGATGGTTTCTTCTATCATGAAACAGACAGAGGAGTGTGGCCAATCCCTGATACCCTGACTGTGGCCACAGTGAGAACTTTATTGGCTCACACTTCTCTCCTTAGGAAGGGCAACAAAGTGTGTCTCCTCACTAAACTCCAATCGAGATACTTGAAACCACAGGACAGCACAGCAAAATTAAGAGGAAAAACTTACAAAAACTGAGGTGTGGACAGGAAGTTCCTTCCTCCCAAGTCCATTGGGTATCTGAACATCAGGAAGAAATACAGATGTCCAACGAGGTTTCCAATGAGCTCATTAATCACCCTGCAAAGAGAGTCAGGTCAGTGCAAAGACATGTGGTAGCACCAGGAGCTACACCACATGCAACTAAGAGCATGGGAAAGAGAACCAGCCTCGCTCTCGTCCGTTACAGTCCCTGGGACCCAGTGACAGCTCTACAGCACAGGGAGCTGCACCATGCACAGCTAAGAGCATGGGAATGAGCCGGCCTCGCTCTAGTCTATTACAGTCCCTGGGACTCAGTGACAGCTCTACAATGGGCCCTTTTACAGTGTGAGTGACAAATGTATTCCGAGGGAGAGGGAAATCAGGCTTGAAGGACTAATGAGGCCCACAGCTTTTCAAGGTCAGTAGCACCTCTGAAATCTCCTCCAAGTCCCCAGCCCACCCTCAAAATATTATCTTTGTCCCAGCCTGTTTCAGGAGTTAGGGAAGGTGAAAAGCAAGTGACTCTGAATTACCTAAAACATACAGTATTTGTAAAACAGACGAACATGCAAGCTACCAAGGACAGAGCAGGGAGGGTAGAAAGGTAGATAACAACTGACTGCTCTGATTTCTGGAGCTGTGACTTGTACTTCTGTTGCATGCCTGACAGTAAGATGAGACACACAGAGACCACTTGGGACAGCTGAGCTTTGTCCTGCATCCTAAAATAAGTACTGCCTTCTTCACTTCCCAGGGCTCACACAATCACCTCACGATCCACTGCTGCTATTACATTTCACTCTTATCTTCATCCACATGTGGTTTGGCCTGAGCAAACCAACACCTGTAACTTCTACCCTTGTAGGTGGAGGGGTGGAGGGGGATTTACCAATCTCAAAACGTGCTATGATCTACACAGTCTTTTTGTTTAGACCACTCACTTCTCTCTGTAAATACACAGGAGGAGTAAGGACCACACAAGGCAAATACATCTCATATAGGAAAGGACTAGTACTTTTAGACTCTACTAACTTTTGAAAATATTTGGTAATGTAAGAAATGGGAACTCTTAATATATCTCTAGCTTGTGCTTTGTTTCATTTTGAAGAAGAATATTCTCACTCTTTTGTTTTGGATTTTTTGAGACATATTTTTTTTTCCTCTATGTAGCTCTGGTTTCCCTGGAAATCACTATGCGGAGCAGGCTGGCCTTGAACTCACAGAGCCTGCCTCTGCCTCCCAAGTCTTGAGATTAGAGGTGGGCAGAAGAAACTTTAAAACTTACTTGTAATTGTATACACAGGCCTATGTGTGTGTACACATGGACACAAGTCCCCAAGCAGGCCAGAGATCTCAAATACTCAGCTAAAGCCACAGGCAGTTGTGAGCTGCCTGACATAAGCGCTGGGAACCAAACTTGGGTCCTCTGCAAGAGCAGTACCTGGTCTGGACCACTGCTGTCTCTCCAGCCCATGACAGCTCAATCTAATTGGTCCCTCTCTGAACACATCAAAGGTTTCCCTACATCTCAGCAAAAGTTCTGCCTGGCAAAAGTTCTAGACCATCAAGCCATGTACAAGACACTTCTTATCTGAGACTCTCCATTTCTGCGGCTGTACACTATGTCCAAGGCATTTTGGAAGTGTCTTATAAATATGCGATAGAGTAATCTTATGGATAAGTTCCTAAGAGGAATCAAGGCAAATTAGTTTTGTATTTGCTCAGTATGGATACTGAATACAGAAAGGCATATATATTCAAAGACATGTATCTAGAAACACAGTGTATGTGGTGACAAGCTAACAAACGATAGCCATCCAATGTCAAAGGTGTTTAAAGTCCTGCTGTGCAGCCAATCATATCCAAGCATCTTCACAAGGTTCTAACGTATCAACAATGAGATTCTTTAACATCTTTAAAAGATGAGGAAAGAAAGACAAAGATGAACTAAGTTTCCCAAAGATTGGTTTCCAGTCCAATAGATGAAACATTACTTACGAGCCTCCAATGATATAGTTGAATCCAAGGATAACCCAAGGTAAATAACAGGCCTAGGAAAGAGGACACAAATGTGAACAGCCACATATGAAGACACCACAACACAGGGGAACTAAAACTGCAGAAGAAAATACCAACCAGGGCTTTATAGAAACTTCTCAGATCTAACATCATTCCTATCATACTTGCATCTTCCTATCTAAAACTATACTTATTTGTATACCTGAAATTGCATGGGAGGAGTCCTTTCAGATACAATACTCCTGAGTTAATATTAACAAAGAAATAAACAAGTGCCTTATGGATGATGGTTAAAAAAAAAAAAAAAACTATGACTCCAACCACTCCAACCAGCACATAGTCACAAATAATTAACTTGAAGCTTTATCTAACATGGTGTGTGGATGTCTCAGTAAGACATTAGCTTTCCAAATCTGACATCTGGGCCCTAGAACAAACTTTAACCCTCATTCCAAACTGAGTGAACTTCAAGGGAACTTCACAAACTAGTAAATAGAAGGTTATATATAAATAGCTGTAAGCTAACTGAGGTAAGTACTATGAAATCCCCCAGACAGGACAAGTCTAACTCCTGGCAGGAGACTCAAGCAATGTTCAGTTCTGTAATGAGTAGGACATTACAGGTAGCATTTGAGGGTGCTAGTCTAGGAAAAGTACTTAGGACCTAAAAGGGAGTGCAAGAGTGACAAAAAGATTAGGAATGGCAGGGTTCCTGCAGGTTATCTTGTCTTGCAATTTCTCTTGTGTCCTCTCCCCCTCTCCCTCTCCCTCTCCCCCCCCTCTCTCTCTCTCTCACACACACACACACACACACACACACACACACACACCCCACATCCCTGAGGAGCCTGAGGTTCAAAGGGATTCCTGGAAGCAATATCAAGCAAGGGATTCTGGGATGGCTAGGAGCAGGACTGAGGAGGGGGAGGAAGACACCTGCCTGTGCTATACTACTCTGCAGTGACCCCTTCTGGAAATGTCTGAAGGTACACATTGGAGCTTGAGGGGGATTGCTAAAAGACAAAGGCTGAGTTTTGCCCCACCTAGGTGAAGTACCTTAAATCGTGTTCCAAACCAAAATGACACAATCAGGTCTCTGTTCAGCTGGGCCCAGACATAGAGCACTGACATGATCAGAGGAATCATCAGCAGCTGCAAGAGTCAACACATGAACCTCTGCTCCAGGAGCACACACCCCAGGTTAGTGTCAGCTGTCCACACCGCCCGCCCCCAAAGTCTGCAAAGGACACTAATTAAAATGACAAACTAACCGCATCACTTATCATACAATGAATTCCATAAAAATCTATAATCAATACAGTTTTTACATGAAATCAAAGACGTCAGTGTAAGCTGTGATTGGGGGAGAAGAGTTTTTCCTTAACTATATAATCTGTTTTCAAAGAATACATAACCTCACACTTGCCCAAAGAACACTGCATAGCCATTACTATGAGTGTTCAAGCATAAGCCAGAAATAAACAGAAAAGCCAATGATTTAGATAACGCCTACAAGAGTCTCAAAGGCTTAGCTAACAGTATGTTCAAGACAATAGCAGTTATCATTTTATACAGTCAATATCGTTCATCTCAGCTTCTGAAACTTACAGAAGGGCAGATAGTTGAGCCTTACCTGCATATCCATTGCTAAGCCAGTAATCTTGGTTTGTAAAGTTAAAGATTATATGTGGAAAGTGTTCTATGGATATCAAGGTTGATCTGATTATTTCCCTCCAGGGGAATTTCAGTGCACTGTTCCAAAGGAGAACATTTGTCTATCAACCGGATTACTTACAATGATCTGGGAACACACAAAAGTTCTGATAACCTGGCATAAATATCCCACTATCCTGTACAGTCAGCAGAACAGGACACAGAGACATGAACACGGTACCCTGCTACTGTTTTAGCCTCTCTCCTTCAAGTACAGGGTAGAGATGTCTGTGAGTTAAAGCACCTGACCCTGCTCACACTCAGGAACTCAGGGATTTACAGCGTGAATAAGCCCATAACTTTTTGTTTTTTTTTAATTCATTCTCTTAAAGGAGAGAGTGTATCCCTTGCCCTATATTTTTCTGGCTCTTGGCCAACTTTAAATGGCAGTCAGATCCAACTGTTTGCTTATCAACTGTACCTCACAGAAAGATGCACTATGCCCAGAGTAGGATATGGAGGGACTGGATTATTATTTAGAACTCAAAAGACAGACGGCAATGAAGTCAGAAAATTAATTTTCTTGTAAAAGCCACAGATTTCAAAAGCTGTCTCATGGCACGGAGTCTCTGTGCTTCAGTTGACAAACTATCATCCCAGAGAACACAGAGAACTGGACTCAAGGAGACAGCAAAAAAACTCAATTGAATATGGAAAAAAAAAAATCCCAGAGGCAATACTAAGAGGAGACATCCATAAAGCTTACAATTTACCCTAGCTTTAAAAAAAGAATATCAGTTATTTTCATTAACCACAGTTTTTTTTTTAATGGTATTAAAATTGATTGAAATGTTTTCATAGAATTCTATTTCTCAAAACCTTAAAAAAGAGGGGTGGAGGAGCTCATTTCCGGCCCAAAATAGCACTGAAGGATACCACGATGCAAATCCAGTTAAAGAGGAGCATGAATAAATAGTCTGCTGGCCTCCCATCAAAAGCTCCTAGAAACAAACACAAGGCAAACATCAGGGTCCAGAACTGAGGGAGGAAATAGCATCTAGGGAGAAAAATATTTCAAAATTCTTATTAAAAACATTTAGCATCACTTCTTTAAAGAAAAAGTGAATTTTTACCAAAGTCTATACCATGGCAATAAAACTGAACCACAGGCATCTAACTATGCCCAATTTATGCTCTGCTGATTGACTTCCAGAAACAGACCCAAGGGGGACAGCCAATCCCAGACACCAGTGAGGCCCTTTCACTTTCCTTCATGGCCCTAACATAATCTAACGAGCACACCTTGAAATGTGGTCAATTCCTGTCTCTCACTTACAGACTGAAGCTTGTCAGGACTCTTGTCCATTTTGGCTACCACTGTCATTCCTGCAGCACAACTGCTGGGAGCCCGTTGTTATGACAGGGGCATTAGCTGCTGCTGTTGTCACTATTAACACCAGACAGACGCACTGCCACCTGTCCAGCCCTGGGCTGCCATGCAGAGCAGATTCAGCATCTATTACTGGATCTTACACTCTGGAAGGGAACGACCAGACAAAGGAATGGCCGGACCTCTCCACGCTGACTTTCTCCATAGGGCATCTGTGAAGTGCAAGGGACAGGTCTATGATCCCTTACTTAAATAATAAGTCACATGACTCAAGCCACTCGCTTGTCCGAGGCATGGTGGAGGCTAAGAACTGGTTCGATGCTTTTGGCATTGTGCCATTGCTAAGAATGCTTCATTCCAAGGGAGAAAGACCAACAGTCAGCTGGCTAGGCTAGGGACAAGTCTCACATCTCAGTCAGGGCACTTTAAGAGAAGCAGGGGGAAGATACAAAAGTGACCAGGAAGTCACCCCAGCTCTCTCCACACTCTACAAGACACAGGTAGTCAGTTCTTCAAACCTGTAAACAAGAATCACAAAGACAGAGGATGGGTCTTAAGGGGAGAGAAAACAGGGCAACAGCTTTAGTGGTGTGCACCTGTAATCCTAGGACTCAGGAAGCCTGGACCAGCCCAGGGCCATATATACATAGCAAGTTCCTGTTCTCAAGACAGAAGATGGAAAGGAGGGGAAGAGGAAGGAGGGACCATCCTCCGCTCCTACTCTCCTTTGCCTCTCTCGCTCCCTACCCAAAGGCATGCTTCAGCCACAAATACAGCTGAGCTCCTTACCAGACTTGTGAATCTGCAGAAGAGCTGTGCTTTTCTGGTATGGTTCTGGCTCTGTGACCTCTAAGGATTCGTTAGATTGCATACTAAGATACTGTGATCACATAAACTGGCGTGCAAACAACTAGGAGTTCACAAGTAACTGGTCTTTAACTCTAGTCTTTCAATGCAAATCAGAGCCCTCTGAAGCCAACACTGCTTCTTTTTGTTTTTTGTTTTTTTGGTGTGTGTGTGTTTGTTTGTTTAGTTTTTCAAGACAGTGTTTTTCTGTTTAACAGTCCTGGCTGTTCTGGAACTGGCTCTGTAGGGCCAGGCTGGCCACCAACTCACCTGCATAAGATCCGCCTGCCTCTGCCTCCCAAGGACTGGGATTAAAGTTGTGTGCCATCACTGGCTCATTCTTCACAAATTAGCCAGACAGGAAAATAGGCAGTTGGCATATTAACTTAAGGCTGTGTGGAGTACAGAGAAAATGAAAACCTGGCTTCCACTCCACCCATGTTATCTCAACTAGCGGTGACCTTGGGACCACTGCTCAGAACAACTGTTTTCCTGCATGTAAACTAGAGAGTTAAATAGGATGATATCAAAGATTCCTCTCCACAGCAATGTTCACAGCAGCATTCGTCATAGAGACCACAAAATGAACTGAAGTCAAGTGCCCACCAAGTCAACAGATGAACAGAATGCAACAACAGTATATAATTTGACAATGAAGAGGAATAAACTACAACTACATGCTATACAGAAGAACCTTAAAGACATGTCACACAGGAAAAGAAAACAGTCACAAAGGCCACACGTGGCACATCCTATCACAATTATTACCAGCACTTACTGGTACAGGTAAACGAAAGACCCAGAAAGGAAGCTGGTGGCTTCCTATGGCTTGTGTGGAAGGCACTGGCACTAGTACAGGCACAGGCACTCAGGGGCAAGCAAATGTTACAAACTGATGTACAAGTCTACATACACACTAACTGAAGTGTGTGCTTCAGACTCAAGTGAGGAGGCTGGATGGGCTGTGGGTTAGCACCCTCCCTTGGCATCCATGGAAGATGGGATTCAAGAACTTCCCTACATGCTAAAACCTACAAATGTTCACTATCCTTGGATAAAATGGTATTGTGTTTGCACAGAAACTACATACTCTGACATATACTGTCAAATAAGCCAGATTACTTATGGTCCCTTACAATGTAAATCATATGACACAGCCGTTACTATATGCTGTTTGGGAAATAAGGATGAGAGGAAAACTCTACAAGTTCAGTAGACTCACTTTCCAGATATTTTCAATTTTTTCAAGCAGTTGACTCAGGGCACAGAACCCACAGATATAGAGAGCAACTTTTTATCTCAGAGGAACTTTCAAAAATGCCTCTCAGTGGGCTGGAAAGATGGCTTAGAGATTAAGAGCACAGAGTTCAATTCCCAGCACCCACATGGTGGTACACAGCCATCTATAATGAGATCTGGTGCCCTCTTCTGGCCTGCAAACAAACATGCAGGCACAATACTGTGTATGCAATAAATAAAATAAATCTTTAAAAAAAAAATGCCAACTGGAATTGGGCTATAAAAAGTAAATTAATCTTTAAAAAAAAATGCCACTCAGCTTGAGCATTTCAAAAATGCTGTGACTAGAAAAAAAGGAAGCCACCTCTAAGGACCTAAGCAAACAAAAACATCCAGTAGTCTAGTAACTGACAGGTTTCTCTTACCTGTTGCTCATATACAAAATATTACAGATCAGTCTGTGTTACCTGGCCAAGTTAATAGAGTGGGTAAGTGATGTTAGAGCACAAGAAACAAGCAGAAGGAGGCCCGTGACTATCACAGCTCAGGTCTGGCTTCCACAGTCAGTGAGTCCCTAAGGCTTGCCTTCGGAGGTGTGCTGGGTACTGCTTCAAACAACAGACAAAACAGAGAGAACTGTGGCTGGGGGGTGACAGTCAAACAGAGAGTCACACCGACACACTACAACATGAGTGAGTACTGACAACGCTAACACAGTTAAAGAAGCCAGTTACAAACTGACATGAGAAATGGCCTACATAGGCAAACCCACACAGAAAGTGATAGCCAGAGCTGGGGGTGGGGATGGGGAGTTAGGGATGGAGAGCAACTGCTTTGGGTCCACTGAAGGGATGCACATGAAACACTGTGAAATTAAACTGCTGTGATGGTCACAAGCACACTGAATCACGTGCTTACAAAGGGCTAAAAATGAATGTGATGTGAGATGAAGTCTTGTAGATGAGAATAAGAAGAAAAAGGGTCACGGAACCTCTTCTCTAATTTTGTACATGTTTCCATTTTCCCCCACAGGAAAAGTGTCACTAACTTGTCCTGGATCATCCACACTTAACCTACAAGTTACTCCAACAGCTTAATCATCCTTAGACAAACCAGGACAGTAGAATGCTAAGCACTACTACCAAGAACTCAGCAAGGGAAAGTAAAAAACATAGGTTCTGGGAGAAAGGAGGCAAGGCCTGGTATACTGAGGCCTAGCACACTCTGTGTGTGTGTGTGTGTGAGAGAGAGAGACTATGTTTATATGTGTGTCTGTGTTTGCATGTGTGTGTGTTTATGTGTGTGTGAGGGTCTGTGTGTATGTGTCTGTCTGTGTGTGTGTATGTGTCTGTGTGTGTGCGTTTATGTGTGTGTGAGTGTTTGTGTGTATGTATGTGTCTGTGTGTGTGTAGGCATGTACATCAGCATGCATTCAGTAGAGGTCAGAGGATAACTTGCTGGCAGTCAGTTCCATCCTTCCATTATGTGGGCTTCCGGGAATCAACCTCAGGTTGCCAGCCATGGTGGCAAGCACCTTTACCAGCTGGACTACCTTACTGGTCTCAGTCCTTTCTGTTTATCTACAAAGGTCTGGGACCCCATCTTATGCTTTGTACTGAAACAGTGAGTTCTTTTCAAAAGTTGTATTTCACAGCAAATGTCCACCCCACTCTGTCTCTGCAGCTGTTAGACAGAGTCACAATTGTCAAATAATTGAGCAGACTCAAGGATGGTTCAGAAACCAGACCTAGGTAAGAGCCAGCAGTTTTATAAAATCTCCAAAGTCAGCCAATCTTTGTAAATTATTTACACTCAACAAAAGTATATCTGTATTTTGACAGAGTATCAATTTACTGCTTCTTTGTATAAGCAACTCAAAATAGCATTTAAAGTATTGCAGGAACTACATAATTCAACAAGACACATTTAAAACCACTGTACTGCTTCTCCATTATATCACAGGAGAAGTTATATTTGAAAGACTACACAGTACCATTATGGCTGCATAAAGTGCATGTGTGGTGTATACACATGTGCACATGCAGGTGCCCACGGTGCATGTGTGGAGGCCAGAGGTCAACAGCCAGTACTCTGCTCTACTGTTGGCCACCTTATTTTTAGAAGGCACTGGAACTGGAGTTTACCAAGCGACTCCACCAGGTGGCCAGAGAGCCCCGGATGCTTGGGTGGGCTAGCACTGAACTACAGGTGCAGGGTCACACTCAGCTTATTTACATAGCTAAAAGGATCTGAGATCAAATCCTCAGGCTTGCACTTTACCTTCAGCCATCCTCTCCTGCCCCAAGCGGGTGCTTTACCACCGAGATCGAGACTAGGCCCTGACTTCACAAAGTAGGCCTTTCACCCTCAGACAAGAGATGCATATACGCTAGCCCAGTTTTACCCTAGCAGGACAAGGATGAGGAAGACATGAGAAATTCTGGTTTTCTGTCAATTGCTTCTATAACACAACAAACTGTGAGTAAAAACTCAATCTGACTGGCAGTGCATGCATACCTTTAATTTGGTGTGACACCTTTAATCCCACACTCAGGAGGCAGAGGCAGGTGGATCTCTTGAACTGGAAACCTTCCGAGTCAAGCCAGGGATAGATAGTAAGACCCCAACTCCAAAGCAGGGAGTCAGTACACAAACAGAACTCAGTCTAAGTGCCTAACAGTCATGATTCAGTGTGCATGTAAGAATCACCACTACCCATTCCTGCCACGGCACCCATACCACTAATAGCCCCCAAAACCCAAGTAAACATATGAATGAGAAAGTCAGAATCAAACAATACTTAAAACAACGATAGATAGATAACTTACCTGCTTCAAGCCGTGTAGAGTACTGATATAAGAAATATAAATTGACCAAATAAAGAAATCCAGTTCCTGGACCCACGGGGAAATAGAAGGTGGCAGTGAATGGCCTCCATATCTGAACAGATCAAAACAACAGAACAACAGCTATCAGTTTCTCAGAGCTGGACCAAACTTTTTTTTTTTTTGCTTTTTGCTTTTAACTAAATAAAATCAAACTATCTTTTCAATGAGCGCTAAAGTGACATCAACACAATTTGAGAAAACAGAATTCCAGCTTATACAACATCAGTTCACAGATCAGTGAAATAAGAAAGCATCAAAGCCATCAATAAACATTTTTAAACAAGTTAATAAAAACGGTACTATGTAATATATGGACAGTGTTGCCTGAGATCAGGCTTACAGATAATCCTAAAGTAAAAGTATCACACTCAAAAGCTAGATAGAGGTTAGCAGGAATCATTCCAATGTGCTAAATAAGCAATATGGGCACAAAAGAATGTAACACAGCGCACGCGCACAAGTTCCGACTTCAATCTGATTTCCTTTGGGGGCAATACTGTGACCTGAACCCAGACATGCTAGGTTAAGTGCTCTATCACTGAAGTACATCTAAGCCCTCTTTTCACATTTTAGTTTGAGAGAAGGACTCACTACATTTTGCCTAGGCTGGGCCTGAACTTATTCTATAGCAGATTTAGTTCTTCAACTTTCAGTCCTCCTGCCTCAGCATCAAGAGTTACTAGGATTACAAGGCTGCCAGTACCACAAGGCCTAGCTTTTATTTTTGGTTTGTTGAGACAGGGTTTCTCTGTGTAGCCCTGGCTGTCCTGGAACTCATTATGTAGACCAGGCTGACCTTGAATTCAGAGATCTACCTGCCTCTGTTTCCCAAGTGCTGGGATCAAAGGCATGCACCACCGTACCTGGCCTTTGCTTTGTTTTTGAAGCAGAGTCTCAAAGCTCAAGCTATGCTGGACTGTTGAATCAGCCCATCTCAGCTTCTGAGTGTTAAGATTCTAAGAGCATGCTTCCATGTGTGGCCCATTTACTGGATATTCTAACATTCTTCCTTCTTTGCCATACTTTAAATTGCAGTTTCATTTCTTCATTCCCTTGACAAAATATTTCTATTGGCTTCACTGTTTATGTGGATATCCAAACTTTGCTTAAACTGTTATGATGCCATGATGAATATTTTTGTATATCCTCTACAAACACACACACACAGAGAGAGAGAGAGAGCGAGAGAGCGAGAGAGAGAGAGAGAGAGAGAGAGAGAGAGAGAGAGAGAGAGACTAAATGCCTGTGAATCAATCTGTTAGATCAACAGACATATGCACTTATTTTGGTAAATATTGCCAAATGTCTACAGAGATGTTTAATTAATTTATACCTCCTCCTAAAATGTAGATAAGTGCCATCTTTGTACACTTATTCACCACAGAGAGTATTTTACAGTCACTAACCTGAAAACTAATTTGTATTTGCTTTGAGAAAGCCAAGCATCTTCCTGTATTTTCTAATTATATTTTCTTTTTACATTTTAAAAACATCCACTTCCCTGATAGATTGGCATTTCTTTATATATTATGGAATTTTCTTGGTGCATGTTATTTTCTTTTCTGTCATTAGACTCATGCTTTTATAGTACTTTTGCTGTATTTCATACAGTAATATCTATTTTATGGTGTCTTTATTTTTAAAGACACTGACTTTTAATAGGACTTTTGCTGTTTGTTCAACATAAAAGTTTAGCAAACAGGTAAAACCCATCACTACCATGCTTACAAAATTTTTTCTAAGATTTTTTTTCCAAGGATAAAAACATGTTCAATTTTACTGCAACACCTTTACAATTTATACAGAATAAGGAACAGATCCAACTGATTTTTCTAGATGGTCATTTGCCTTCTGGTCTCCATTAAAGCAAATGTATTTTCTCCAATTATGTGAAAGGCTAATTCATTTTAAGGCCTACTTTCAGGTTAGATCTTTTAGAATGAATGCCTATAGTAAGTTATTTTAATTTCTGTTTTAATAATGTATTTCCATATCTAAGGAAATATAACCTTCTCCCTCCCCCCCTTCACAAATTCTTTTCCTGGCTAGTCTCAATACTATTCCAAAGTAAATCAGACCCAACATCTCTATTTTCATCAATGTGACACTGGCATACTCTTGCCTGACTGTCACAGTTTTCTACACAACTTTCCCATCTTCCTTTTATAATCAACCATCAAAACAGGTTAAATCTGGAAATTGAACCTCTTGCGCTTCCCAAGCCTATGCTCAAATAAAATTTTCTATCTTCTTTTACCTTACCATTCACTGGCTCCTGTCTCCAAAACATTATTAAACAGTAATAATAAAGTGATGGCCTCCTAGGCTGGTAAAGAACATAGTGCTGACCTCTGGCCTAAAAGCTACGTGTCTTAAGGCACACTATCACTTGCCAAGCAGGAAAAGCATGGCTGCATCAATCAAGGGAAAACTGTCAAAATGAGCAAGAGTTGGCACAAGGAAGAGAAAATACACTCTTGGCACAAAGCCCCCAAGAACTGTAAGAGCACAATAAATAGAAGAGGGTTGCTAATGATCCAGGGCTGCTGAAATAGAAGATAACAGAGTCTGCGAGAACAGAGCTGCCAAGTCCATTCTCCATGGACAGAAGTGGAACCCTCAGAGCTTAATGCTCTGTACAGAGAAAGCATGACCTTCCAAGAACCCCGCATTAAAGCAACAGGTACAGTCACCTCCATTCACAACTTGACCACAGAACCAGCACTGCAGACGGCACAAGAGGCCCACGGCACGAGAGGCCCTGAACATGAGTTGCTGTATAGTCAACATTTCTCAGCCTCAATTTCAAAGTATAAGGGGGAAAGACATGTACGGCCCTCAGTTGGTTAATGACTTTTTTGTTATTTTGTTTTCTTTAAGGGAACCTGGGAATGGAACTAGGCCCTGAATATTCTAGGTAAATGCTCTATCAACTAAGTCTAATATACCCCCAGACCTTGATTAATGGCTTAAAAAACAAACAAACAAACAAACGAATGAATTAGCATGCCACTTGGCTTATTGGCTTATTTATGCTCAATGACTCAGAAGGTGGGTTTTACAGATAAGGAAACAATGTAACCAGTCCAGACCCAACTGTCCTAGCATGACTCTAGAATTTTTAAGACTAAATCCTCATTTTTACAATGCCTCTCCTAAGAGACATCAGTATCACAACTACAATTAATAAAAATTTCCAAAACTGCTACCCTTGTATGATCCAGAAAGGAACTAAGAGTAAACCTACCTGCCCCCTGTCCCCACCCCACCCCCGCTTGCAAACAAACAAACAAAAAAAAAAAAACACTATAGTACAGGGCAGAAGCAAGTTCCTAGCCTTGAAATCTTGTATGTCTCGACTTTTGAGCCGGCTTTGTTTACCCTATGTATGGTATTTGCCCTGGAAATACCTGCCCTCATCCTTTACCTTACAAGGCTCCAAAGGTTGCAATTAAGAAAGTGGACTGAAAATGTGCTCTGTTTAAAAGAAAAAAAAATTAAACCATTTATGGAGGTGTGCTACTATAGCCTTTCAGAAAACACCCACTGACCTGATTTTTAAAAATTCACATTTCACCCACTCCCATATTCCTTGAAATTACTCAAGACCTGATTTTAGAAAAGAAACCTGGGTTTTTTTCCCCCTGACTACATTCTCTCTACCGCTGATGACACACTATTTTTAGCCACTGTGTGCACCTGCTCTTCAGAAATCAGTGTCTGTCAAATACCTCACTTCTCTACCCCGTTCATTAAGCTTCCCCTTGCTTTCATTCATCTGAGACACTTAGTATTTTTGTATTACTTTAAAATTATAATTTGAAATCACTAAGCACTGGGTGTTTTCAGCAGGCTACACTATTTATTTCTGAGTCTCTTGCAGCCTTTTCCTTCCTCTATCTGACATGTAAATAGGATAGGAAACAGGCTCTGTTTGCAGAGCCATGAGTAGAAAAGTACACTCTCAACTCTGGAAAGTCAAAGGAGCAGCCAGGCACAGCACAGGAACCCAGACTGGCACAGAACTGTGCCTCGCTCCCACTAGGAGGACTTGGTGGGGAGACTCTTTCATCATTCAGCATCCCAAGACCAGACCCTTAATGCACAGTGGGGTTTTCCTGGCCCTGGTGGGGATGAGGTTCTTTGGGGGAGGACTGTGGTTTGGTTTGGTTTGGTTTGGTTTGGTTTTGAGACACGGTCTTGCTATGTAATGCTGACTGGCCCTAGTACTAACCTAGTACTAACCATCTACACTGCTATTCCTCCTGCCTCAACCTACCAGGTGTTCAAACAGGTCTGTGCCACCATGCCCAGCTGCACATGTGCGCGTGCGTGTGTGTTGTGTTCTTCAAGAGAAAAACATGTGAGTGGGAGAGAGAGAAGCTAGGCCCTAAATAGAATCAGGTAATCTGAGAACCAGAACGTGTTCAGTCATATAAACCCTCAAAAAGGCCTATTATTCTTCAGTTACTCTTCCAACCGTGTCTGTCATTTACCTAAAACTTCCCAAATAACCCGCTAATGAGATAATTGCAAATGCCATCCAGAATCAAAGTGGGATAGGAAAGTGAGAAAAGATTTGTCTGAAACAAAAAGGGTGATTTTGAAGCCAAGAGAGTCAGCATTGGGGAAGGGACAGGGAAAGGAGATGAGGGCAGAGATCAATACCTGGAACCCTGTAAAAAGCCAGGCCCTGTGGCTTTACACACCTGTGATTCCAGCACTGGGAAGATGGAACCAGGTAAGCACCTGGGGCTTGCAGGCCAACCAGCCTAGTCTAATCAGTGAGCACCAAGTCCCAGGGAGAGAGCTTGTCTCAAAAAACAAGTGCCTTCACACTTGTATTCTTGAGCATGCACACACACATCTCTCTCTGTCTCTCTCTCTCTCTCACACACACACACACACATGCGCGCACGGTCTTCGAGTAAAACGATGATGTCTCTGTGTGCTGAATGATGGTGCTAGACCTCTTGCTGCTACTGCCATGTCAGCCTACAGTTCAAGAATTCTTCTTCCAGCTACATACAAAGCGTAACTCAACTCTCTTAAGTCAACCTGTAAACAAAGCTGGGAAATTAAGCACCAGCCTGCAGCACAGGCGTGGCCGGGCCACTTCTGATTCAGGGAAACAAGTTAGAGAAGCTGTGGATTCTTGTCTCCCATTCTAAGTTAGGGGCCTTTTGTTGTGGTTTGTTAGTTCTATTAGAGGAGACAACTATCCCTGACACTATTATACGGCCAAGGATGATGGTGAATTTGTGATCCTCCTGCCTCCACCATCTTGCCTAGGCGGTGTTTATGTGGTATTAGGGATCAGCCTAAAGGCCTTGTGGATGCCCAGGCAAGCACCATGCCAACTGAGCCACATCCCTAGGCCCCAGTGACCTTTCCCATTCTTGTAGTTGTTGTTTATTTTTCACTCTCTTGGAATAGGGTCGCACTCTGTAGCAAAGCTAGCCTGAAACCTGCTGTACAGCCAGCCCAGCCCGACCTCTGCTTCCCCAGTGCCAGAATTACAGGTTGTACCACCATGCCTAGTAAGATGGGGTTCTTTTACAGAGATTAAATAATAATAACAATTACTTTATTATTATTATTCATGGATTATATTTCTAATCTAATTTAAAATTAATATTAAAATCTCTTACTACTAATAATAAATAAAAATGGTCACTACCTCAAAAGTTTGCTTATTAAGACTATTGGTTATTATGTAAACAATTTTCTGTGTGTTATACTTAAGAGAGGTATGAAACAGCTAATGTATTTCCTTGATTTGAAAGCACTTTGGCTTATGTTTCTGAAATCAGGACTTGCCTTATAATTAACATATTCATTTTATGTAATTTCTACTCTTCTCCTTCCAAGAAAAGCATTAAACTGATGAAGAGCTCTATAGTCAACAGAGTTCTATAACTCTGGTGACTTAGCATGTCATTATATTATCTCTGCTTTTAGGTAAAGGTAGTGTAGGTCCAGACAAATAGAGACTTGGTTCATGGCACAAACAAGGGTCTGAGCTGGGGCCTTGATGACAAGATCCAACTATTTGAAATACTTGAAAGCCTGCCATCTTGCTTTCCTAAATGACTCAACTACATGAAGTTTTATGGTCTTCCAGATCTAGGGAAAAAAGAAAAATCATTTTCTGTAACTAATTTCAAAGAAATCACTTTTCAAAATGTTCTGCTAAACACTTGGGGGAGAGAGGCTAGCAAGGGATTTAAGACAACTTAGACCATTCTTAACTAGCAAGACAGAAACCAGCTGCAGTGTTCATAAACAGCCAGCCCTTATCTCAAGACAGCTGTGGAAGGCCAGATAACAGACATATAGAAAAGCGCTGTTTTGTTTTTAGAAAATGAAACCGTGCAGGCTCACAGGGGACATATAACTCAGCAAATACTAAGGCATCAGGAAAACTGCCTCCTCTCTGGCTTCAGGGCAAATATGAAGACAGTCCATCACTGGGAAGTATTTGATAGGGAGAAACTGTGGACAGCCAAGTAGCGAGTCTTAGCACATTTACTGTGTTTTGTTATCCAAACCAGAGAAACAGCACTTGAAACTTCATAGTTAGAAAGCATCACAATACACAAAAGTAATCACAGAGGAGGAAAACACCTTTAGTTCCTTCAAATTGTGAATGTACAATTCTAAACCAATTATGCCACAATTTCTTTGAGCTGACACAGATGGAGTGCCTCAGGAGGGGCTTCTCCTGCAGAAACTGTGAGAGGAGAGCACACCTGCTGTGCTTCTCCATCTTTCTTGCATTGTTTCCACTAGGTTGGTTACAAATCTGCATGAGGGGCTGATGTATCCATACTTGAGGTGTGACACAAATGATGTCTCTAGTCGGTTTAACACTTTGACAGCTTTGATACTGCTGTGGCTGTAGCTTATCAGAAAGGCTTTTGATGTTCACTATTCTACCAATCTGGTGAGCGAGATTTCACAAGCTGGCTCAGAGTCCGTTTCCACCACGTTCTCATAAAATGATTCACAGCCAACACTCCTCATGCACACACATTACCCAACATGCCACCAGGTACAAGGTGCACAACAGCACTCTGCCAAAACATGGTTATTAAAGCAAGTCATTGGAAACCGTGTGCCATCCTACCTTAACTCATTCTCCTTTTTCCACAGGCTCAGGAACCTCTGTCTACTTCACTATTGTCGTCAAGTACCCAGGACATAAGTGTCCAATTATTTCCATCAACTCAAGCAATACATAAGCAACTATTCTGTGCCCAGCACTAGTCTAGGTAACAAAGGCAGCAGTAAAGATCCCAAAAAACCTTGTTCTCGGATGGGAAATGGACTAACAAATACCAACTAACAGCATTTGGCAGGAAAAAGTGAAGGAGGGCAATCACAGAAGGCCTTAAGAGTAAAATGGCATTTGGGCAGAGGCCCGAAAGACACACAGAGGTCAATGAGTGAACCATGCTTATCTTCCTCAATAGAAAAATACATGTGCAAAAGCCCTGGGGTCGACTTAGGTCAGCAGCAAGCAGGCAAGGGTTTTACTCACTGAATTTCAGACACTGGAGGGTTCTAGGGAGACTGACAGGACATAATTTATGTTTTCACAGGATCACTCTAGCTGCCCACTGAGAACAAATAGAGCAAAGCCGCCATGCTAACAGCTTGCGATGGAGACTGCAAAAGGCCTGTATTCCGGCCATCCAGTTGAGGTGGAATCAAAAAGACCTTCTTGATAGATTCTGGGCTGGGAAAAAGAAGTCAAGGGCCTGTACACAGTATGTCTCTCAATGTGAGAGCACGTACCTAGCATGTGCTATGCCCTGGGTTTGATTCCCAGCACTAGAAAAGAAAGTTAAAGCAAAAAATAACTCAGGGATGTCTCTACGACTGTTAGCTTAAACTCCTCTAGTAATGCAGTTGCTATTTACTTCTAAGGGAAAGACAAAAGGAGACTTGGTTAAAAGTCTACTGGTCACCAAGTGGTGATTTCTACCACTACACTAGGGATCCCTGTGGATCTGACATTATCCCAGTCATGTATTTATGCCCATGACTGGTAAAGATCTGACTCCTCGGTTAGGGAATGACTACAGAGGGCTCCTATAATGGATTCCTGGAGCACATCCCAACATCCAGGTCAGGAAAACAAGAAATCAGCAAACACTAGAAAATAACCCCCAGTGAAGAGTAGAAAAAAGAAGGCCAAGCAAGGAATGTGTTCAGATTCGTACCTACTCTTGGAATCTGAGCCTCCCCTGATTAAATTTTTATATCACAGAAAGGATAAAAATAACCTCTAGGAAATTAATATTCTTTGGCCTAGAATGGAAATTTAAATGTTTTCCTGAAAGCTTAAGAAAAATGACGTCTCCCATTTCCTGAGAAGTTTACTCATTCACTGATACATTTAAATACTCTATGGCAGGTGCCAGGTGCTGGGTTAGGGCCGGCAGGAAATACACATACATTCACACTTTTTTTTTTTTTTTTTTTTTTTTTTTTGATCTCTGACTTAAACCACTTCCATAAGGCGGAGAGAGAAACTGTAAACACGCAAACAACCCATGTATAACATAAGTCTGTCAAGGAGACACTACCACGGTGGAGATAGTCGGAGGGCAAAGGACATTAAGGCAGGTGGGCCCAATCTGACAACAGACTGGTAACTATCACTAACTTGCCTTCTCACTATTTCCTTCAGCGTGAGGAAGGCGGGAAGCCCACGAGTATCCTGAGTCACTGCCCAGCACACCAATCCGCGACTCCAAGTTATCCAGGCGGACCCCAGGACCACCCTCACACCACCCCAGACCCAGAGGACCAAGCCTTAAGCCTCTGGAGCCCGACGCACTACACATCCCACCAGCCCCAGCGCGCCCCGCAGCCTGCCGACCCGGTCCCGCCGCCGCGGGGACACCTGGGGGCTGTAGTCTCCACTGCCCGACGCCAGCTACTACCTGGAAGCGGTAGAGGAAGGCTTCGGGCCAGAGGAAGAAGTAGGCCGGGCTGATGATACCGAGCTTGCCGATCAGAGGGACCGCGATGGTGGCAGCAAACCAGTAGCGCGTGATGGCCGGGATGCTCCTGAACCAGTCCCCGATGTCCGACATGGTCACCCGTCAGGTGGCCGGCTGCGCAGCGCCGCGCGTCCTCCCGTGTCCACCCCCGCGCTCCTCGGCCGAGCGGCCCGGCCAGGGAAAGTCGGAGCGCAGCCGCTGTGCAGGAGGCGGAGACCGACGGACGTGGCGCCACCGAATTCGGACGAGCGAGGCAGCGCTCACAAGGGAAACTTCCCCTTCCGGTGGCCGCGGGCCACGTGACCAGAAATGCCCTCCCGGCTTAAAGGGCCAGCGTCGTCTTTAAGAGCGCAGCCGAGGAGCTCGACGTCCCGGGTGTGGGCCAGCGCGACTGGCGGGGTGACAGCAACGGCGAGACGTCTAGTGGGGAAACAGTGGTTGCCCGGAGCAACGCAAGTATTTCAAGCCAATGGGCAGGTCTCACGCCCTTCACCCAGTTCTCGCTGGAGTTGTAATCCCAGTGGGAGCGTCTTGGCGAGTGTGTACTTAAAGGGGAAGAGGACAGTTCCCATTTAGTTACAGCTTCGGGCGTTTGTTCACAACTTCAGGCAGGTTTCTGACACTGGGGATGCACCTGGACTTTGCACTCTCAGGTCAGATCGATAAATGAGTCACGGAAAAAAAAATTCTTCGGAGAAGGATATGGAGAAAATTTGAGATGATGGGGAAGAGTGCAGCGGAGGACTGGAAAATCTTGAGACGATTTGAGACCCGCATTTTTAAGAATGGCCTTCTGAGCAGAGTGGCTGGACAGAAATCTAGGAGAAGAATTTTTCATGAAGAGAAAAGACTGCTTTTAACGGGGGTGCAAAAGGAACTGAGAGGGGGCTTGGCCTTGACTTTTAATCTGGTTTCTCGAGGGCCTTTAAATTAGCTACTGATGAAGATGATTGCTTTAAAAAAAATAAATAAATAGAAATTTAAAAAAAAAAAACCAATCGATGGAAAGATACCGATGTCACTAGAACTAGAACTTTTAATTTACTTTGTTGCTGTTGCCTTGGGCAGGACCTATGGTGTGGGAGCAGTGAAAGCTTCCATAGAGAATACTGCTATAAACTGACCTGTAGTGAACAAGATGTTTGAACTTGCTGCAATAAGAGAGATTGTTCACCAAAACAACCCGGACCCATCTCACTAAACAAAAGCATCATTATGGGATGGGAGAGGAAGAGGGGCGTGGTTGGCAGCAACTAGAAGAAGCAGTGCTTTGTAGATTCAAGGCAAAGCTCAGCAGAGTTGTGTGCAATGTTTGATTACCATCTGCCTGGGCCTAAAATAAGAGGCAGACTCAGTGAGAGGGGAAAAACCCTCAAACTTAAATATAGAATTTGGGGTCTGAAAAATTACTGTTTAACTTTGTGAATTAATTGAAAATCTTAGGTCCAAGTGACCCGGGAGGCTCACATCCTCCAGGCAAAGATAAGGTGCATGGGTCCATTTCCACAGTTCCCAATGTTCCATTATTTCAAAGAATTGTGGTCACTCCCCACTTTGAGTGTTAAGAAATGCACATTTCTCTAGAGAAAGGTGCTAAATATTTCACAGTTTAATGAGAAGATCCAAAATTTGGGGTCCTACAGGATCTCAAGAATATGAAGAAACTGATTCATACATAGTCAGGACAGTTCAAATGACACAGCCTTACAAGAAAGTCATCATGCCTGCCTCTTGCGGTCCCCAGCACTGTCATTTTAAGTAAGGTATAAGGAATAAGAAAAACTGGCTATCCAACATGGCTATGGAAAGTTCTACTAATGAGATCCATGAGAAAAGGACAAAAATATTATGTAGCCAAAGTCCAGGCTGTGTTCCCGGATTCACTGAGTAAGTGGCCTGGACTTGGCTGCCAGCTTTAGAAACACTAGAGGTTTTTGTTGTTTGATTTTTATTTTTTTCAAGATGGGGTTTCTCTGTGCAGACTGGCTTCGAACTCACAGAGATCCCTCTGCCTCTGCCTCCCGAATGCTGGGATCAAAGGCTTGTACCATCACTTCCCAGTTTAGAAACACTGAAGTTTATATTGTGAAAAAAAACCACTTCTTGGCACTATCATGCTGTGAAAAATCATGTAACCTCCAGGCCTTTGGTTCCCTTGCCTGTAATGGAGTGCAGAGATGGCTCAGCTGGGAGAGTGCCAGCTCAGCTCCTCAAGCCCTGCCATCCACACAAAGGTACCATCCACCACAAGGTAGCTGTGGTGGGACAGTTGTACAATCCCAACACTCAGGGAGCTTGAAAGCAAGAGTTTCAGGCCACTCTGGGCTATATAGCAAGACTATCTCAAAAAAAAAAAGCAGAGGCTGGGAGATGATCCATAACGAGCACTGGATGCTCTTCCAAAGGAACCAAGTTCAATTTCCAGCAACCACATGGCAGCTCTCAGCTATCTGTAACTCCAGCCCCAGGGGATCTAACACCATCACCGACATACATACAAGCAAAACTCCAATGCACCTAAAAAATATGAATATAAATAAATAGTAAGAAAACAGGTTTATAAGTAATAATAATAAAACAAAGTAAAATACAGTGAGATAAAACAAAAACTAACACATTGGACAAAACAAACACAATGAAAAGAGCCCAAGAGAAGGCACAAGAAACAGACACATTCACACAGAAACACTAACCTGGAAGACATAATATGTATGTATGCAAAGGGACAAAAAGAGAAGGAAAATAAATAAAATAATAAGTATTGATTCTGGCCAAGAATCTATGGTTAGGGAGTCGCAGCCCCAAGAGATGAACATTTTATCACTTTGCTAAATGGGCATAGTATCAAACCAGGAATTGGGTCTAGGTTGGCCTACACACAAAGTTCCAGGACAGCCAGGGATACATACTGAGTCTGCCTCAAAACAAAACAAAACCCACTTGCTTTTTGTCTAACTAGAAAGTAAGCTCTATGCAAATGCGACTTTGTTTCATTCACTACTACATCCCAATGAGCAGCTCTTGTACACAGTAGCAGCTCAATGAACAACTATTAACTAATGAATGAATATCCCCTGTACAAACCCAGCACAGGGAACCTTTGTACCGTAAGGATTCAAACTGTTGGAGCAGAGAAGAGAGGAGAGAGCATCTCTATGGGAGTCAGAGATAGGGGAAATGAGGTCATTGGAGATGCTGTGAATCTCCTGGCACAGACAGATGTTATTGCTGTTGATGTGTAAGTATGCATACGCCTGACTGGCAATGCATCTGAGCCCAGGATGCTACATCTGTCATGTGTGTTTGAAGGCAGTCCAAATAGGCCGAACGCACATTTAGAGAGAGCAGAGATTATTGTATGTTTTGTCCATGCTGTCAAAAGCAATAAAGGGAATGCATTGGGAAGAGAATATGCATACTCAACAGTCAGTGCTGTGCCTGTGTGAGCTGCACCCAGAGTGCCTCAGTGGGGTCACTGCTGACAGTTTGGCTTGGTTTGTTCTCTGTGAGGCTCTGACCAATGCACTGGGGCCTCAACTTGGTTAGCAGCACCCTCAGACTGCTAACAACACCTGTCCCCAATTGTGACAACTGCAGTGTTGCAGGCCTTGTCAAATGCCCTGTGAGTGGATGGGGTGAAATCACCCCAACTAAGAAGCCCAGATTAGATGTGACACTGGTGATGCCTGCCCACGCCCCTCCTCCTTTTGCAGCTGCACATTTATACAAGCACACACTCTCTCTCAATCTCACACACACAGAGACCCCCCCCCACACACACATACATACACACACACTCTCTCTCAATCTCACACACACAGACACACACACACTCTCTCTCAATCTCACACACACAGAGACCCACACACACACACACACATACATACACACACACTCTCTCTCAATCTCACACACACAGACACACACACACATACACTCTCAATCTCACACACACAGAGACCCACACACACACACTCTCTCTCTCTCAATCTCACACACACAGAGACACACACACACTCTCTCAATCTCACACACACAGAGACCCACACACACACACACTCACACACACATACATACACACACACACACTCTCTCAATCTCACACACACAGACACACACACACATACACTCTCAATCTCACACACACAGAGACCCACACACACATTCTCTCTCACACACACATACATACACACACTCTCTCTCTCCAAATGTACCCATGGGATTTCCTGCTGCCATCTGTGGAAAACTGTTGAACAAAGAATCTTTAATAAAATCCTATCTTGATCCGGGTGGTGGTGGCGCATGCCTTTGATCCCAGCACTTGGGAAGCAGAGGCAGGCGGATCTCTGTGAGTTCGAGGCCAGCCTGGTCTACAGAGCTACACAGAGAAGTTCTAAATAGACTGCTTAATAGTGAAAGATCCCATGGAGAAAGGTATGGGTAGATGAGAACCCATCTCAGATGTTCCAGCCCCAGCTGAGCTTCCAATTCAATGCAGTCACAAACGACCTAGGCTGTATCATGTGGGCCAGAAGGGTCCGGCTGGGCACAGCTACACAAGAGTGAGAGACCGGACAGTGCTGTTTTTAAGGCGGTACATTTTCAGGTGGTTTGTTATATAGTAGGAATCAGCTGAATAACATAACCAAATGCCCATGTGAGTACAGTGCAGTTATGTGAAGCAGCTCCTCCCAGCTTATATAGCTAAGCCACATTCCCAGAAATGCACCGAGTCGAGGATTAAACACAGCTGTTAGTAAAAACCAAATGACACAGGCTTACATTAAAATATAGGTTTAAGAGGTAACAAATATGTCTTGATTACTGTGACACATGTTATTATCTGCAAGCTTGAGGTTATCTATGTCTAACATATTATAGCTCAGCTGAGAAACCAGGGACACCATTTTGATTATCTCGAAACTGGCCAACATAGGAATATTTACACCACAGAACTGGCAAACTATAGATGCCACAGTTTGGGTTTCTTCTGTAGCCCAGAGAGCCAGCAGCTAAACGTTTGCAGCACGTTACCCTCTTGAGCAGGGCTTACATGATGCCTGTATGTCAGACACTGTTCTGGATCCTTCACAGTTCCAAATTGAGTTCTGTTATTATTCTGATTTTACAGATGAAGTAATCAAGACACGGAGACACCCAATTCTTTGCCCACAGTTAGAGTCCTTATCAACAGTGGGTTCAAAGAATATGGGTATTCTGAGTCCAGTGTCTTTCAGTTTCTAATCCATATTTTCAAACTTCTACTT